CAACAAAAATTACTACACGACCCCAGGAGGGGGGACCGAAGCTCTGCCGCCCTGGGGGTACCAAAGACCAAGGGCTTCAGCCTCATGCATGGGGCCTGTAACCTGAGCCCTGTTGCCAGGGCTAAAGCCCTGAGACTTGGGCTTTGGCCCTGGGCAGTGGGGCTTGGGCTTCGGCCCTGGACCCCAGCAAGTCTAAGCCAGCCCTGGCGACCCCATTAAAATGGGGTTGCGACCCACAGTTTGAGAACCACTGTTCTAGATTCTAGAGCCCTCCCCTTTGGAGAGTGGGTATGTTCCCATTGTTCACAAAGTTTGAGCCTGAATTAGATATTTATTCTCCAAACTGGGTTAGTTGACTGCCATTGTAGTTGAACTGACTTAGATCAAGTGTGGAGAAGCCACAAGCTCAGCATTGCTGTTAGCCACCGTCCTGGGACAATCACACTGCTGCTTATTAGTGTCTGCAGGTTAAACTTTTAACCCCCTCCTCTGTGGACCCAGGAGTTGTCTTACCTGGCTGTTGAAAGACTAATGTAGATGCAATTAACTGGTTTAGTTAAATCAACTTGGAGGACAGCTGCATTGTAGGAAGATTATCTTTCCCAGTGGCATAGCTGTCTCATCATATTTGCATAGCATGCGTGGAACAAAAATAAAACTAAACACTCTGTTCTTCTGTTTGTATTCAGTTTACGTAAATGAGTCAAAAGAACTCAGGATAGTTTGGAGAAGCACTGACCAGGAACGGCCCAGGAAGTGATGAGGAAGAGAGAGGGACTTGTAGTGTTATCTGATGCTGCCATCAGTGTACACTGGGAGACTTTTGTGTTGCGTTCCAGCCGTGCATCAAAAAGCTCATGTCTTTTTTTTATAAACTCAAGTGTACCTTTTATTGATCTAAATTCAGCCACAAACAAAGGTGAAATAAAGATAGTTGTGTGAAAGTTTCTGTGTTGTGATGGTTTATAAAAGATTAACTCTCTGAGATGAAAGCGGGATTTTGATTTAACTTTAAAAATGCCTGCTTTTGCAATGATCATGCGGCTCTGAGTAATCACTAGAGCATGTACCCTTTCCTTCTTCACAACCCCTATTTTAGTTTCACAGGTGGAATGTATTTAGGGTCCCAGCTGGGCTCATTTGATCTCTTATATCTCGCAAAGGTGGCTGCGCTAGTTTAGGTGCATGGATCAAAATGCAGACTCTTGTGGGTGCTGAGCACTTCTCAGTAGGGCTAGATTTCCAAAAGTGCTGACCTCCAATTTAGGCACCTAAATAAAGTGGTCAGATATTCCGTATGGGAGCAGCATTTTTTTTTTTTAATCTGGCCCTTAGATTTCACCATCACTTCATTTACCTAAATATCTGGACAAAGGTATTGCAGTAGAGAGTTACTAACTTTTACCTCTGGGGGGGAGACCAAAAAAAAGAACTGAAAACTAAATTTGCAAAGCAGAACGTGAGCTTGTCACATTTTGTTTTGAAGATGGGTCCCATTTTGCAAACGAGCTTCAAATAGAAGTTTCTTCAGTTAAAATGTTTCAAAAATGTTTCCAAATGTACAGGAAATATTGGATTTCTTGTGTTTCTGGTGGGAAAATTATCTATTTGTGGAAGTGTGATGGAAAACAAAATGAGTTGCAAAATGAATGGTCACTAACTGAAAATGTTCGCACCATGTTTCTCAAACATCATGGCTTTCACACAGCTGTTACCTTTTAGTTTAAACGAACCACTTCCAACATTTTTTGGTGCTGTGACTCTTTTGGATCACTGCTATTATTTCTATTATACTAATTTCGAGAGTTCCCAGTAGAGATCAAGGCACCATTACACTATATTCCTGTGAAAACGCACACAGTCCCTGCCCCAAAGCACTTACCATCTGAACAGATTAGCTAAAGGGTAGAAGAAAGATGACAGATGGAGAATTGAGGCATGGAATGCTTGAGTGGTCTAGAGATAATGGCAAGGTTGTGTTCAGAGCCAGGGATATAACTCAGATCTCAGAGTCCTGGTGTATTATCCTTTCTCTGTACTCAAACACTGGTTGACTTAATGAAAAAATCAAAGCCTTTCTGTGCGTCCACAGGTTGACTTTTAAATGATATCGTCTGCACCAAACTTAGTAGTTCCTTTCGTTGGAAACATTGACATGAAATAATATAAAAGATGCAAAAGACCTATTAAGTCAGGTCATTCCCTGCAGATGTGGGATACATTCCTTATCAGGGTTTATATCTGATGTTAAACCAGTACTTTGCTTGATCTTAGCCAAAAGGGCAAGATGCAACAGTGGGAAGTAGTGAATAAACTGCTGGGGGAGTGGGAAGAGTTTTCTTCTTTGAATCATTAATAGGTGCAAGTGAGTTCATGTATAAACGTACTCGTCACGTGTAAGTATGAGCTATAGTGAAGGGTCGTGTGTATGCTCAGGGTTCTATTATGGTAATCATAAGAGCAAAGATTGTTAATTCTTCTGGTCAAATTTGCAGTTGCAAGAGAAACCTATTTGGAAACTGTTCTGGAACTGTTAATGACAAACTCTATTCACATCGGTGAAATGAGTCAATCATAGGGTTAAAGTGCTGCAAAAGTAGGGTGGTTTTCTCACACTCTAAAGTGAACTGAAATCTAGTTTTGATTGAGACCCCAAATCATTAACAGAATTGTGAATATTTAAATTAGACACTGTTGAAAGCAACATTTGACCTCTTTTCTTTACATACTTGCAAAGATCTAAGGACAGAGTTCTTTTTCTTGCAACTGTTTATATCTTTACTAATCTCTTCAGGGATTGTCTCTGTGCTTACAAGGGGATGTGCTATTAGCCTGTATCCATTTCTGACTACTATTATCTCAAGGTAGCACAGGGGGCTGTGCTTTACTTACACTACTTTAGGTGTCAATATTGCCATTTGGTGCGGACAACGCAGATCTTGGCAGCCAAAAGCTTTTCAATTCAGCTTTTCAGTGCATCTTTATCAAATGAGCTGCAGCAGACTGCTCCTACATTATATCACAAGTGGCCTTGTTTGCCAGCACACGAAGAAAAGATGTTGGTTGCAAGGCCCATTTGAAAATCTGGCCCTTACAGATTAATCTGAAGTTACGAGATACTGCTCTTGCCTAATGTTCCACTAACCATTCTCCCCTGATAGATGCTGGACTCAGCAATAGTTTTGAGTCACTGGAAGATACTTTACTTTGCTTTATGGGTGTCATGTGGTGTTCCCTGACACTGCATAGCCCAGGGAATTACTCTTGCCTGGTTAACTGTGGTTAAACTCCTATCAGCACTTGATCATTACTTTCTAAGATGTAGTTAGTTTTAAAGATACAATAGGGCTTTTGACTTCAGGTGTGTTTGCAGCTTGACCCAGCCCATCTTACCAGACTTACGCCAATATAATCAGGGCTTTTTGGTATGAGTCATACACAAACATCTCAGTGCTTCACAGCCAATTCCAGTTTTTATGGGTTGCAGAGCAAGCTGGTTATGGAGTTACAGCAAAATACGTTGGAGACAATATTTCTTTTGCTGCTCTGGCCCGTTGTCCTGCTTGAAATGAAGTGGTAAAGCAGTCTTGCACCTTGCTTGAAAAGGCAGGCAATGGGGTTGGTGTTTAATTAGGTCACTGGACATATTTTTAATCATCCATACAGTGGGTAACAGCAGGGCTGTATAAAGAATGCTAGAAGACCTACCTTCTGTCTCTGGGTAACCGAGCATAATGCATTTTTTCTTATTTTTCCTTGGCATTGTTTCATGTTCCTTTAAAAAAAAAAATTGGAATTTAATTGGTGCAGCTCTTTCAGTAAACTGTGCACCTCTGATTTATAGAGAAGTCTCAACACTGTTGAGTCTCTTTCTTTTTATGTATGATAAAATGCATCAAAGTTGGCTTGATTAGCGCATGGGAGATTCAGAACTAGTGTCCTGGTTAGTTTCAGACCTCCTGCTACTAGATCTGATACCTTAAATAACTTCACTTCATGGTTCACGAGGAAAACACAAGCTATTAAACGTTTCCCATTTTTGGAGGCACCTGGTTTCCGTTGAAGAAAAATGTGTATTCTAGAAATGTCAAGTCTCATAGTCTTGAGGGAATTAAAATTGTCAGGAAAAGCTTCCTCATAGCAGGTGGGCGCAGTGACAGTGGGGAGTGTTTATAGAAGGAGACAAAGACCATATGTACATTGGGAATTTGCCCTATTTTCAGCCACTGGCCTAGCTGTGCCACTGCGATACCCTAGTATAGACTAGGGAAGTGTTTCCCAAACTTGGGATGCCGCTTGTGTAGGGAAAGCCCCTGGCGGAGTCCAAACCCCTAGCATTTGTGTCCATGAAGCTTCCCTCTGCTTGAAACCAGGGTAAAGCTGCACCAGTGCAATTCATCGTTTCCCTAGTCCAGTGTTTCCCAAACTTGGGACGCCGCTTGTGCGGGGAAAGCCCCTGGTGGGCCAGGCCGGTCTGTTTACCTGTCACGTCCGCAGGTTCGGCCGATCGCAGCTTCCACTAGCCCAGAGGGAAGCTTAGTGGGCACAAATGCTAGGGGTTTGGACTCCGGCAGTTTCACCAGTAACTGAAATCCCCGGTATAGAGAAGGTCAAAAAGTGGCCTTCAGCAGAAGAGCATACAGTCATGTTAACTGACTATTGTCAGGGCTAAATGATGGGGTGGAGGTAAGTTGCTGGAAGCATGTGTAATGATGCCCCGTGGGTTCATCTGTGGATCTTAAAAGCAGGACCAGACCCATTAGCTTAAAGGCATCTATATCTGATCTAGGTGCTAGAGGGAGGCAGAGGTGGAGTGTTAGCATGGATTACACATGGATGTGGAGTAGGTGATCAGTTGATGTGGGATGAAGAATGCAGGAGGTAAATGCAAGCAGTGGGATAGGGTGGAGAGGGTAGGTATGCTTTTTGCAAGCTGATACTGATCAGCTGGTTTAGTCTCTTGTCTATTGAAACTGATTTTGTCTCCAACTTTCTTTCAGGGTTTCCACGGTCCTTATCCCTTTGGACAGTCTTAAAAACAAACAAAAAAACGGGTACCGTCAAGAGGAGAATTTAACAAAGAACTGACTCATGGGGGACAGAGGGGGGTTCTTATGGCTTATAGAAGACACGGCATGGATCCCCTTCTCTGCCTCCACAACCTGGATAAAGAAGAAAACAAACAAAAACCAATAACTTAAGACTAGTGGTTTCCAGAGGAAAACAAAACTAAAGTATGCATGTGTGAATGCTGAATTTTAGGAGTGCTGTTCAATGCTACGAGAAAGAGGAAATACACCAACACCATGGGTTTTTTTAGAAGTCATTATCACAATTAATTAGGTAGCTGAAAAAGTTTAAAAAAATTAAAATGAAAGCCATCTTTTTAAAAGAAAAAAAAAGTAATTATTTTGCCTACAGAGCGGTTGTAGTTTGAGCAAATGTTTAATTTTTTTGTTTGTTTCCTGTTCATAATTTTTTTTAATAAGGGACAGAGTGCATTTTTATGGAACTGTCGTGTTTGCTTGCTACAGAACGGGAGCTCGCTTAGCATCTTCTGGGGTTCATGCAGTGACTTCTCTTTGTATGTTGGATGTTTTCAATGTGCGATTGGGCCAGCACCCAGCTCTGTGAATTTCAGTGGTATCAGCCGTTTTTAGTTATCAACCTTTTAATCTTCAGTTTTTGTCTGTTTCCCTTTTGACCTTAGTGTTATTGGAAACCTCAGTGAAGACCAAACTGTTGCATTAGAATGGGAGGACTCCAGCATTGCGTTAACCTGGGAGGTTTATTTTTCTCTTGGAACTTGAAATATACATACACGTATTTCAGTAAGAAACAGACTTACTAGAGTTCCAAAGCTGGTCCTAAATGATTGGTATTTTAAAATGCTGTTTTGTTTGTCAAATATTGATGTCCAGTAGCTGTGCCTAGGACAGCCAGGCAAGTGTATCTGTCTTGTGCCAAGAGGAAATTAACTTTCTGTAGCTGTAGTTCACCAAACAGTAATTATAAAGTTTTACAAAAGTCATGTCCCTTTAGGTTTAAACCTCACATCCCTACTCTTTTTATATAAGTATAATTTTAATTCCTCTCTCCTGTGATTAAAGTACTAGCTTAGGAGGCAGAGGCCAATTGTTTTTGAAGTAGAGCAAGAAGTTGAATCATCAGCTGGATTCCACAGTAGCGCCTTGTATTCTTTCGCCTTTTTACTGGCCTGTAGCTTCTTTGAGGCTCCAGCTTTCTAGATGGGTCTCATCAAGCCTCCTGCTCAGAAGAGGAAGAGCTTTTCTGGACATGAGGGTCACTTAGCTGTGAGCGTCCTCGGAGGAATGATCGCCATGTGCAAATGAGACCGTGCAGAGCAGTTGCGGAGGGTGGCGGAGTTCTGTTTCAGACTTTGCGGCGTTGGGTCACTGTGAGCCAAGCAATCCAGGTACTTGGGAAGAGAATGGGTTTTTTGGAGGGGAGGCACTAATTCAGAAACTTGAACCAGGCCGTAACAGCCATCTGCCAAAGATACAATAATATGCAACGTCCCCCATCCTCCTCCAAAACTCCCCATCCCAAACTCCCCATTCATGTTGGGAGCTGAGTGCATGGTATGCCTGCTGGCGAGAGCGATGCAAGGCTTTAGGCTGACCTAGTCTGCACCCAAGCACCTGTGTTTGCTTGGTTGACTTAAGCAGGGTTTCATTTTCAGTGCAGTGTCCATGGGCCTTATTCTCCCAGGCATATGGGTAGCTCCTGTTGAGGCTAGTGGGAATTGTTGGCATCCTCCCAAGGAAGAATTAGACCCCTGGTGAGGCATTTGGATACTTGTAGTCTCTAGAACCCAGTGAACAGCTACCCTGGTATTGCTCCATTAGTGGGTGTTTGATAGTTTAGTTGTCTATTGGACACTGGATTTCGAAGGACGTGTTCCCTTTTAAGATTGGAAGTTTCCCTTTCCTCTCTCTCTAAACACATGGATGGGGCTGGGGACAGGGTTGTAATGGATCACCCCTTGGATGAAGAAGGTCGGGGCGTTTGGAGGAAGGTCCTGCCTGGCTTGGGGAGTTAACCTGAAGACTTGGAGAAGGGGGTGCAGATCCACGTTTGTGCTTTGAATGCAGTTTAGGAGGTGGAGGCTGCATTTGGTTAGCTGTAGTCATAAGACCCTGTATATGTCTTGTAAAATCCCTCTTGCTGTGGGCGAGATATGTTATTCACAAGTCACAAAGAAGCAAGTGTGTAAACCGTCATGGTGAAGTGTAGGCAACGTTTGAATTGTCATGACAAGCATACAAGGCATGACCACATGCACATCCAGTACCCAGCATGTAGCATCCTCACTCCCGTGCGTCCCTTCTGGAAGTGTTGCTGTTAGTTGAGGTGCCAAGGCTGCTCATTGGTCTCTTCACATCAGCTTCATCCCTCTGTTGTGTAGAGGAGGAGGAACAAGGAGTCCTGGGTTTCTGACTGCTGCCGCCACTGGGCCCAGAACTCTGTAAACCTTTTACTGGCAGGGGCCGCTGGGTGACCCTCAAAGCCACCTCGCCTGACTCTCGTTTTCTCTTCTGCTGTTCCCAGGCAAGTAGGCTTCACCTGAGCAAACTGATGGCCACGTTTACATCCGCCTGTCACCAGTGCAAAGATTGTATTTTGTTCCTTTCTCTAGAGAAAGCTAGCGTGCACCCCAGTTGTTCCTGTGCCTTCAGTCCATTCTGCACAGATCTCAATGTTGTCTCCTCTCTTGAGCCTGTCTAAGTCTACCGTGCCCTTGTGATTGGGTTGTTCACAGAGTGAAGAAAGGCAGGGCCTGATTTGAGCTGCAGTTGCAATAAGTCAGCCTGTTAACGCTGGCCTATTACAGCTGTTTCCTAGGAAATCGGTCTGTTTCCTAGGAAATCGATCATCAGCGGGGATGATCTCTCGATAAATAACTGCAAGAGGCTCATAACTGTTTCAGGGTGTTGGTTAGTGTGATAATCCTCGTGTGATGACGAAGGGAAGATGTTTAAACTGGTAATTAATCTGCCTCTTGTGTCTTCTCTCCCGTGAAAACTGAGTCCCCTGGTACTCAGCGATGCACCCAGTCCCCAAATTTAAGCTACTTTTAAGTTTGCAACATTTTCAAAAGAGGATTTCAGGGGTGCTCAGCAAAGGTCTCAACTAGTCATAGTTGGGGCTGAAATTGCACTGCTTTCCTAGGGGCAACATTTTCAAGGCAGGACGGGGGCTAACATTAGGCACCTAAACCAAAAATAGCCAGATTTTTTTCAGACGTGCTGAGCACCCAAGTTTCTCATTGATCTCAGCAGGGAGAACCTCTGAAAACCAGACTGAATCACATGCCTAATTTTAGGCACTCACGTTTTAAAATGTGATCTAGGACGCAGAGCCTCAGCAAATGGTTACCTGCCTGAGACTGCTGGGCAAGGGAAGAGGCCCAACAAAGCTTGCCCTATGCTGTGTTACCCAAGCCAGGCTGGTGTCCCTGACTTTGGGAACAAAGGGGCTGGTACCCACTGGTTTGAGACAGGCTGTAGCTATGGAGGGACTGCAGTTGGCTCTGATCCCTTTCCCTGGCTGCTGCTGTTGTGGGGAGGAGGGTCTTGGAGTCCTGAGAGGGCACAGCAAATGGAGATCTCTTCAAAAAAGTAAGTTTAAACTTCCAATACATATTTGTTTTTTTAAATGGAACCTCAAGCGTGGTGTGAGCTGTTGAGTCCGGAAACGCCTGGTAACCCCTGTGTCTCAAGTCGGGGTTGCAAATATACTCTGTCCCATGGCTGGGAAAGCCTGGGTAAGCTTTGCGCCCCTCTGGCTGGAAACGCACTCTGTACTTGGGAAGAGGTGTCTAGCCTGCTTTGGCATGGCAGAAAGTATCTGCTGCCCTATGTCTTGGTGGGGGGAAAGAGTGCATCCTGAAACCTCCAGGGTTTGGGAGATGTCTGGGACCCCACAACTGGGGATGCAAGTGCGATCCCAGACCCCATGGGTGTGAGCATAATTGGAGTCTGCAGGGCTAGGAAATACACACTGTCCCCTGTTTCTGTTGGTTTTTTTTTCTTGTGTGAGTGAATGGTTGGTTCTGCAGCCTGACTTTATTCCCTCTGGGGGGAGTGCATGTGTAGAACAGGATGGCGTGTTGCCTCATTGAGTCTGGGAGAAGTCTGATGATAGCACATTGGGGATAATAAAAAAGGAAGCTTTTTCCTTTAATGTATAAATGAATATTTGTATGATTAAATTAACACAGAAAAAATTACCTTCAGACGTCTATAGAGTTTTTTTTATTGAAGGTGCGAATGATTTCTAGTCTCCTGTGACCTCTGCAATGTTTGTTAAACGCACCTCCTTTGCTTCCATCCCCAGCTCATTGGGGGTGCCGGGCAGACATCACAAGTGTGCCGTAAAACTCAACGTTATCTCTCCTTTCCCCATGAATAAATTTAAGGAGAAAATTTTAAAGGAAATAAATTCAGGGTGCATTGGATGCATGAAATAAAACAAAGTACTTTTCCAGTCCAGATATAAATGCCAACAACACTAAACACTGGAGGAGGGATCGTTTAAAAAACAGATGGCTTCACATAGGAATTGACATGAAAAATGACCTGTTAGAAAGGAGCCTGATACTGTAATCTTTTTCATGCAGGTAGATCCCCATTAGGGATCCACATGGATACAGGGTGCCCATATGGGACAGTTTACAGCATTTGGGCCACTCTTTTTTTTTTTTTTTTTTAAGAGTGCTGAGGCAGATGTTCAGGGGAAAGTACCTTATCCTAGGGGCCATGAGAGCAAAAGCTCCAGCACACAGTGCCTTCAGAGGCAAGGTTGGACTTGGGCCATCACTAGTCTCTGCCTGTGGCTGTAGGAAGTAGAGATCCTTCCCAAATTCTTACCGTAGATCAGGTTTTCATTGTTGGGTAAATGGAGGCTGCAACAGATGTCAAGACATGGCTAAGATGGCAGCAAAGTTATGGTGAGCGACCTGTCTTGAAGTGCATGGAAATACGTATTTCCAAAAGTCTATGGTAATATTGAATGCAAAGCCTGCTGAAGGATGGATTGCTGAAGGCATGTTCTTAACCTCTCCGAGTACTGGCACAGGGTCACCAGGCGTGGTGTGACAGAGCTGCAATAGACACCCCCCCACACACACACACACCCATAGCTGGGGTCCTCACAATCAATCTGTTAGGGTAATGAAGTGGTTTGTGGCTAACAAGATGTTGCCACAAACAGGCAGGCCCATGAGGGGGGCTCCATGTTACAAAGGGTTGGTGGCCTTTTCCTGGCAAAGGTGATGTCTTCTGGTTACACCAGTCTTAAGCTGAAGTCTTTGAGTGATCGTCAAGGGTTAGCCCCAAACAAATCATGCTTTGATTGCCCAGCACGACTGACAGTGGTAAGCACTCTTACAGCAAGTACATCCAGACTCTTGGGTCATTGCAGAGGGAGGTGAAGTGGGGAGGGGAGGGAAGGGAAGCAGCATGAGCCACTAGCTGGCAATCCGAAAGTAGTCATGGAAGAGGTCAGGGCCGGCTCCAGGTTTTCTGCTGCCCCAACCAGAGGGGGGAAAAAAAAAAAAAGCCAATCGGCGGCACTTCGGCGGCAGCCTAATGACATTGCTCCATTCTTTGGCGGCAGTTTGGCAGTGGGTCCTTCACTCCCTCGCTTCCTCTTTGGTGGTATCCCAAAGAGAAGGACTGAGGGACCCGCTGAAGACCCGGACGGGCTGCCCCAATAGCGGATGGAGGGCCTCCCCTTTGTATTGGCCGCCCCAAGCACCTGCTTCCTTAGCTGGTGCCTGGAGCTGGCTCTGGAAGAGGTGCAGAAGTTCCAAGTTGATGAGCCTCTTTCGTAAGAGGTGGGATATACTCCACCAGCAGATAGAGCAGTCACAAACAACCAGTTCTCGTTGCTTTCTTCCCCTTCCAACCAGCATTCCGCCATCTTCTCCCAATGACCCCCGTTACCTCAGCTGATGCATTGACTTCAAGGGAGATACACTGATTTATAGCACCTGAGGATCGGACCCATCAAGATTCCATCTGGGTCGGCATTTTGGCTTGTCACCGAGAGAGGAAGGAAGTGTGTGTGAAATTCATGTATTAAGGCCTAAGGACAATTAGAGAGACAAGGTGGGTGAGGTGATATCTTTCATTGGACCAACTTCTGTTCATGAAAGAAACAAGCTTTCGAGCCCCACACAGCACTTCTGGTCTGGGAAAATGGACAATTATGACTGTCTAAGCTGACCTGCATCAGGCAGGCCAGAGAATCTCCCCCAGTTGAGCC